GGTTTCCTTTGCTGTGCAAAAGCTTTTAAATTTTATTAAGTCCCATTTGTTTTTGTTTTTATTTCCGTTACTCTAGGAAGTGGGTCAAAAAAGATCTTGCTGTGGTTTATGTCAAAGAGTGCTCTGCCTACAATTTCCTCTAAGAGTTTGATAGTGTCTGGCCCTACATTTAGGCCTTTAATCCATTTTGAGTTTATTTTTGTGTATGGTGTTAGGAAGTGTTCTAATTTCATTCTCTTACATGTAGCTGTCCAGTTTTCCCAGCACCACTTATGGAAGAGGCTGCCATTTCTCTATTGTATATTCTTGCCTCCTTTGTCAAAGATAAGGTGACCATATGTGTGTGGGTTTGTCTCTGGGTTTTCGATCTTTTTCCACTGATCTATATTTCTGTTTTTGTGCCAGTACCATACTGTCTTGATTACTGTAGCTTTGTAGTACAGTCTGAAGTCAGGGAGTCCGATTCCTCCAGCTCCATTTTTCTTTCTCAACATTGCTTTGGCTATCCGTGGTCTTTTGTGTTTCCATACGAATTGTAAAATTTTTTGTTCTAGTTCTGTGAAAAATGCCATCAGTAATTTGATAGGGATTGCAATGAATCTGTAGATTGCTTTGGGTGGTATAGTCATTTTCACAATGTTGATTCTTCCAATCCAAGAACATGGTATATCTTTCCATCTGTTAGTATCACCTTTGATTTCTTTAATCAGTGTCTTATAGTTTTCTGCATACAGGTCTTTTGCCTCCTCTAAGATCAGGAACAATACAAGGGTGCCCACTCTAACCACTATTATTTGACATAGTTTTGGAAGTTTTAGCCACAGCAATCAGAGAAGAAAAAGAGACAAAAGAAATCCAAATTGGAAAAGAAGTAAGACTGTCAGTGTTTGCAGATGACATGATACTATACATAGAAAATCCTAAAGATGCCACCAGAAAACTACTAGAGCTAATCAATGAATGTAGCAGGATACAAAATTAATGCACAAAAATTTCTTGCATTCCTATACACTAACAATGAAAAATCAGAAAGAGAAATTAAGGAAACACTCCCATTTATCACTGCAACAAAAAGAATAATATACCTAGGAATAAACCTACCTAAGGGTGCTTTAAAAATCTCTGTCAGGTAATTCAAAGACCTGTCATCTCAGTGTTGGCATCAATTGACTCTCTTTTCTCTTTTGAGATTTTCCTTGTTCTTGGTATGAATGGGTGATTTTCAACTGAAATCTGGATATTTGGGGCATCATATTATATAAGACTCTGGATCTTACTAAACCTTTTGTTTTCAGCTGGCTTCTTCTGACACCCAGAGGAAAGGGGAGGTGCCACCTCATTATGTCAGGTGGAGGTAGAAGTGCAGGTTCTACACTCAGTCTCCACTGATACCTGAGGGGGAAGTGGGGACTCCTCTTTACCCCTTAGCAGGGTTGGGAGTTCTGGCTCCTCACCAGGCTTCCACTGATACTGCCCCCCTGGCTGGGTGCAGTAACAGTAACTCATTACTGTTCCCCACATGGCATCCAATGATACCATGAAGAGAGGGTGTCAATGCTACATGGTGCTGAAAGTCCTGACTCTCTACAGGCCTCCTCTGATACCACTCCAGTGGAAAAGGGAAGTTGGGAAGGAGTGTCTCTTATTGCCAGGTGGGATAAAAGTCCAGGCTCCCCGTGTGTCTCCACTGATACAGCAGGGGTGGGGGCCTCAATACTTCCCAGTTGGGATGAAAATCTTGGCTCTCTACTTAGCCTCTGACACCATATAGCAGGGAGGATGGGAGACCTCATTACAACCTGGTAAGGATGGAAGTCTAGGCCTCCCACTTGGCCTTTGCTGGCATGGGAGAGGATGGGGCCACAGTTTCTTATGTGGTGTATGGCTGGAGTAGGAGCGATTATAGTCTAACAGTTTTTATCTTGCCAGGCTGCCTCTTTCCTGGTCTTTTGGCTAGAGAGAGCACACTTTTGGTAGAGCTTTTCTTTTTATGCCTAGTGGTGTTTCCAAGTTATCAGCTTCTTCAGCTCAAGCTGGGACATACGAGGCAAAAACAAAAACCAGGGAACACACCATCATGGTGTTCCTTCGGTCTAAAAGCCCCTAGCCAGTCAATCTTCCTCTCTCCATCTTTCAGAGTCTTCTTATGTTTGTTTTACATATAATGGCTAGAGTTTTTAGTTGTAATTAGCAGGAAGAATACAGAAAAATACTATTCAATCTTCCCAGAAATGGAAGTCCTCTACTTGTTTTTTAAATACTCTAATTTTTCTACTATTGTCAACTGTAATAACATTAAGCATCTTTATAACTATAACCTGTTCTTTTGCAGCTGGGTTCTAATCTATCATTCCACTAAAACATAACATTAATTACTAAATTACATTTTGCTGTCAGTCACCTTGTACTTTGGCATCTGTATTTTCTAAATTCTCCCCCTTTCAAATAAAACTACTCAATGAATGGGATACATTTCCACCACCACCTCCACTTCAATACCTATGTTTGGTTTGGATCGGAACAAATCTGATCAAAAGATTAAGTAAATATATCAATTCTTAAGACATTTATAAAAGCCATGGAAATGTTTTAAAATATTCATTTTCAAAGAGGTCTTAAAATTAACGATAGAGAAGGATGTCCAATAATTTAAGTTTTTTTACTAGACCCAGCCCAGTTACTACCTGGATTTCTAGCCACTTTTTCCTTTCAATTTCTAAATTTCTTTCTAATTTGAAGTCTAAACAATTTATTAACTAAGGTCCATCTATATATCTCATAAGGCCCTGGGAGAAACAGATATTTTGAGTAATTACCTGCATCTAACCTGAAGCACTCTTGTGTTCCATTCATCTACTTACATTTTCCTATACTACATTCAGATATTCAACCAAAATATACTGGTCACCACTATCCTTACCCAATTATATGCCAAGCACTGTGCCAGGGTCTGGAAACATCAATGTGAACAACACCAACAGTATCCTGCTCTTATATTCTTCTGAAGCTTCCTGAGACAGTGATATATCAAAGCAATGCTTCTCAGACTTTTCTACCATATAACGCAAGTATTCAGAAGCCTACAGAACTCAAGGTTGGAAACAGTCTACTCAATCTTATGTCTCCTATTTATCCTTAAAATTCAGAGTAATATTACTAGGAAATTACTAAATTTGCCTTAATTTTCTTCATAGCACTTATCATAAACTAAAATTTCATACGTTCATATGATTATTGCCTCACTCTTCAGCACTGGAATACAAGCTCCGTGAGAGCAAAAAACCTCTATTTGGTTCACTACTCTACTCCCTGCTAGAATAGGGCCTAACGTAATCAGCATTCAATAAATATTTGTTGAATAATTACTGTATAAACAAATGAGAATCACAGAAATTCTCACTTTTATTTCTTACTTAAGAAATCAAACTCTTATATCATTATTTATCTTCAGAATGTACTTCTATGATTATGAAATATAAAAGTTTTAAAAATAACCTAGCTCAGCTTTCCCATTCCTGATACTTTGTTCTAACATGCAGCCAATTAAAATTTCTACTCTAAGAGCTTGAAATTTGTATCCCCTATTTTAAGGTTCCTTATGTTTCAGGTAGCGTAAGTTTAAAATAATTCCCTTGAAGTCTTAGAAATTCTTTGCATAATATTTAGCTGGGAAAAAGAGTGTGGAAAAAAGGAAGTAAAATACAGGCAGAAGTTGGTGACTGCATAGGTGTTCAGCAAGAAATCAGATGATACTGAAGATGATACTCTCAGTTTTGCTAATGGAACAAGTGAGGAACAATCTGATTGTATTCTAGCATCCCCACTGATCAGTAAAGGTTGATCACTAAGCTGACTAGTCAGATATCCCCTTCCATGTCTTGTTTACTGAACGACACAAATTAAGATTATCTGCTTACTTTGAATTACTCAACTGCGAAGCTCTATACTTGCTCTGTCCAAATCAATAGCCACTAGCCACATGTGGCTACTGACACTTGAAATGTGGCCAGACTGACTGAGGAACAGAATTTTAATTTTATTTAATTTTTATTTAAATGTAAAAGTTGAAGCAGCATTAAACACAAACTTCACTGTTTTGGTAGAACTAAATTTCCCTTTCACCTGTACACTGCATAAATTAGTATATTTAGTAGTGCGTGTATACTAGAAATTTTAATATTATATATGTATGTGGCTTACATCACACTTCTATTGGAAAGCACTGCTCTAGGACATTGGTTCTCAACTGGGGACAATTTTGTTCCCCAAGAGACATCTGGCAATATCTAGAAACATTTTTGGTTGTCACAGCTTGGGAGTGCTACTGCATCTCATGGGCAAAGGCCCGGATGTTACTAAACATCCTACAATGCACAAAACGACTTTGTTTTGTAAACAAAACATACCTAACTACCACCACCACCACCACCTCAGTTCTCTTACCAAAATACAACTGAGAAAAGTATCCATTACCTAAGGAAGTAATGAGGGGGGTTGGGAGAGATGACAGGTGGCTGATGTCAACAGAAAAGGCTGGTGTGTAAGATGAAAATTTTGTGATCATACAAGGAAGCTGGTATGATTTTAAAAGGCAAAAACAAAAGAATGAGGAATACATTTTCTTTTATTGTTTAAGTAAAGAAAAAAACTACTATCGACAAAATGCATATGAGAGTAAGTGAGACGTCTCAGGTAGTCAGGATCAGAAACTCTTGCAACAATTTAGGGAAGGAGGTCCTAAGGCCTGAATTTAAGTGTACTGCAGCTCAGGAAAAAACAATGGAATAATTATCCCTTAATATCTTAAAAGCATTTTTTTCTTTAAACATCCTAATCATATACAGCAATATAAACATATTTCAAGAATGATAAATGAGCATCATGATATAGTTAAATAAAAATGAAAGATATAATCGTTTTAAAATTAATCAAGAGTCCCAAATAAGATCAGACCAAGTCTCACACTAAGGCTGAAAAGGCTTTTAGGCAGACATTTTTACCTTTCTGTGTCAAGCGCTTCCTCATTTTTCATCCATCTAATGGTTGGAGTAGGAAGTCCTGAAGCAACACATGGTAACACTGCACTCTGACCAATGACTCTGACTAAGGAAGAAGGTTGTTTCAAAAATACCAAGTTTGATGTAACCTCAGGATCTAAAAAAAAAAAATTAAACAAAAGACAATAATTAAGAAAGTACTTTACCACTTTAATGATAAAGAATGGCAAATTCCTATTCAGTCTGTGTGGCTTTATACAACAAAATAGTTTAAGCAAAAGTGACAAGAAAATTCCATTTAAATTAGCAAACATTTCTTAATAATTTCCATGTGCAAAACTTTGTGCTAGGCTCTCTGGGGGCCTTAAAGATGTATAAGTTATAGCTCCTGCTTTCAATGTGCTTACTGGTCATCTGAGTGAGATCTGACATGAATCCCCTTCATTTTAAAAGGTAACATAAAGTAAATGCTTCATGAGTGGTACAAATAGAAAAAAGACTGATCAAGCTCAGGACCCTTAGCAGTCAGTATCCTCCCCACTCACAGGGATACCATAAGTGGTTTCTTTTCCTTCCCTACACCTGTGTGTTACTTCTGAAAATCTTTGATCTTCATCGCTTTGACTTTCTCACTTAGACTGTCAAACCTTTGATTTTATAATGGTGCAACTAACAGGCTACCACTATACGTGTATTCACTTCATACAGCTGCCCTCTTATGAGCATATGAAAAGGCCATACTCGTGGGGTAGAAGATAGGGTTCTCTACTAGATGGGGGTGCTATTTCTAATGTTAAGTTTTGAGAAAAAAAGACTGTTCTCAGGCAAAGAGATGTGACTCTTATCCCCATACTCTTAGAAAAAGATGTTCTATAGCCATGGTAACAACCACCAGAGCTGGCCTTAAACTTATGTAACCAATCGATGACAGTTCTGTAGCTATGGCAACAAGTAAACACTGTCTAATAGTTCAGTACAACTCGCTTCAGTGAACATGCCTTTGAAAGCCAACCAATGAGTTTAACCAATGCCTTTAAAAGTCAGCCATTCAGTGGTGGAATCCCTTGCTTCTAAGGCTGACACTGCTCTCATCTCTGTAACCAACCACAAAACATGCTTCTATTACTGACATCAACCCAACCCAGCCTCCTAACCAACACACCAAGAACAATGTCTTCCCAAAAATTTTATAGGAGATTAGCAGTTTGCATTATTCAAGACGACTATGCTTTACAAGCATAGCTCTCCGTTAAGTAAACAAAACATTCTGTACTTTTTGTTTCAGATAGTTCATGGTGGCTCATCCTTTTGACACCAAGAATCTTATTTACTTGAATCTGGTTTTAGGATTTGCTTGACTGCTACCACAGATTTAGAGAAAAAAATATGACCTCTGTCTACTATCAAATATGCCCTCTGTCACATAAAAGCAAGTCAGGAAGTAGGCAGGAAGACATCGCTATATAGCAATAGTTCTCTTTCACCTTGAACTATTTACCTAGAATTAATCAAATTTTGATCAAAACAAACAAATCTGAACAAATATTTATTGGCTTCTATGTGCCAGTTACCATTCTTGGCAGCAGACAAAATTCCCTGCCCTAGTTGAGCCTACATACTAATAAGGGGAGAGAGACAACAAATAAAAGACATGGTATGTCAGCTGGTGATATGTTCTCAAGTAAAATGAAGGGGGAAGGACAAAGTGCTGGGGCACAAATGGAAGACTGTTGTTTTAAACAGTGGTCCAAGAAAGCTTCACTGATAAAGTGATATTTGAGCAGAGAGGTAAGACAGTGAGTCAGGCAGAGATATCTGAGGGAAGAGGAGTCCAGGCAGAGAAAACGGCAAGTAGAAAGACCCTAAAGCAAGAGCATGTTTGGAGTGTTCTAAAAACATAAGGTGGCAACAATCACAGAGTGAGGGAGAGAAGGGTATGAGATGTAAGAAGAGAGATGGGGGAGGGAGGTGGCATTAAGGTTATACAAAACCTTACAGGCCAAGGACTTTTAACATTTGCTCTGAGATGGGAAACCATTAGAAGGTTTTACGCAAAGATGTGACATGATCTAATAAACATCTTAAAAGATAACTGTGGCTGCTGAGCTGAGAATACACTGGGATAGGAATGATAAGAGCAAGAACGACGATGACAAAGGAAGAAACTGCATTTTAAAAAATCAGTTCAAGGCCCATTAGGAATACTCTCAAGAGTGGCTGCTCATAACATTGGATAACATTGGCCTCCCTTTGCAAGCCAATCCATAGGCTAAAAACATGCCTACAAAATGGTTATATATAAAAACTGTCCAAACAATGTAGGGATGGTCCAACTCAGATTTGAAATGAGAAATATGGAAAGAATCAGGCATGTAGCAGTGCGAACAGAAGCTGAAAGGTCATGAAACACCAAGAGGGTAGAGGGACTATGATGAGCCACAAGTGAGAGGACATCACAAGAAAGCAGAAGTTACAGAGCTGAGAAAAGATGCACAAAACAGATTATGAGGAAAGCCAGTAAGGGCAGAAAGAATGAGAACCCACAAAGAGAAGGAAAGACAGAAAGAGGAGCGTTCGTTAAAATGGGGGAGCATCACAAAGATCCAAGAACTCTTGCTCACCAGTGTCTCTAGAGATGCTGTACTAACAGTTACTACTCTGCCCATCCCTTATATGAACCAGCCTGAGTGAGTCTCTGATTCTTATAAGTAAAAAGACTTAACTACAAAAACAACCCTATTACAGGGAGGTAAGAGAACTATAAAAACAACCTTATTACAGGGAGGTAAGAGAACTATAAAAAGTATGCTATTGGGGGAGAGAGCAGAAGATAGAGGTTTGACAAAAGACACAGAGCTAATGTTTCTTTGGCCACGAAGAATGCCACAGATACTGAACATACTTTACTGCTTGGTAAATTTTTACTGACCAACACATTTGCTAAAAATCTGTCTGGTATGTTTTCTTCTTTTGTCTCCCTGTAAGAAACTGAAACTCTTTATGCTGACATTAATATCTCAACCCACACCTGTAACAGTGTTTATTAAAAAAAATTCTAACAGAACAATTTTTATCCATTAATAAACATAAAACCATCAGTGCTGATAATAATCTAATACCTGGAAGAACTTTTAATTCAACTTCATCACTATACTTTGGTGGCCCACCACTTTCAACTATGCAGCGATAGAGTCCCCCATCTCCTTCAGTTGCGTTGCTGATAACTAGTGTTCCACTTGGAAGTTTGGTAAGTCTATCATCCAGAAGAAGAGGCTGTCTGTTCTGTTCCCACCTCACAAATGGGACCAAATCTGCATTAACTTCACAATTCAGAATTGCACTGTTCCCAACATAAACCGAAGAAGGTTCTGGTTGGCTGGAAAATCTTGGAAGACCTAGACAATAAAGAAAACGAGAAAATAAAAAGTAGTTAAATATTACTTTAAAATGTAGTCATAGGAACCAGGAGCAAGTCAGCCGGTGTGGCCACATGTGTAGTGGAACCAGGGTCAAGAAGGTCCATGGGTCAGGATATTGGCTACATACAGGGATACAGATCAAGTAAATAAATGTACTAGGAATAACTGGAGTCAGATTCCTCACAGTTGAAGAAGCAAGATACAAATATTAAAAGCAGAAGGGTAGAATAAATCCCATGGTATTGCACTAGAACAGAGGTATCAGTGTAAACTTAACAGTTTTATAAAACTATAGATGTATATAGATAGATGTATATCTGGATATAAATGTATATGCGTAAAATATATATACGTTTCATATACAGTTATTACAGATACACACACACGCATACTAACTCTGGCCAGAGAGTCCAGAATCAATGTCACTTCAGTAGCAATGTGTACATACGGTGACCTAATCATGATTTCTAAATACTATTCTCCACTAACGCAGCTTGGAGAAATGGCTGATTCTAGGACTGGAGTAGGGAAAGAACAATATGAGTCTGGAAAATCTTGTGAGAGAAAGTAAGGAAGTATCTAAAGGATAACAGGGACATATCAAAAGGACACAGAAGTCAGATCAAAAGGAGTTTCCTCTGGCTAGATCTGGGATAATGAACATTAATGCAGGAAGAATCAAGAATGGATGCTAAAACTAGTAAGTGAAAGTTGGATGAAGAATAGGATATTTACAGAGTATCAAATTACTTCTTCCCAAAATACTTATTACTAATTAATAAAAGTACAAAGTATTTATTAACTTTAGAGTAAAGAAACATAGTACAGACAATCTTAACCAAGTAATAAAAGTTAACATCACCAGTAATGGAACAAAACACCACATGCTTCCTCATATGATGCACTAATAATACAGCATCACTTCTGTGATATTTCTCCCCAAAATGCAAAATCTAAATCTATTCATGGAGGAAAATTAGAAAATCTGAAATGAGACAAGGATAAACTGAAGAATGGTTTGAGATCGTAAGAATCTAAGGAGAGAACTACTAAGTAAAACTTGTAACCCTGGACCAGAAAGGAAGGGGGATGATGGGGCAAAGTTTCTGCTTTTGCTTTTTCTGCTACTTAGAACATTATTGAGACAACCAATGAAATATGAATTGTATCTATGGATTAAATGATAGAATTTTATTAAGGTTAATTTCCTAATATTGATGGATGTTTACTTAGGAAGAGGTCCTTGTTTTTAGGAAATACACACAGAAGTATTTAGGTTGGGGTAACATCTGCAACTTACTCTTAATGGTTAAGAAAAATTTTATGTGGGTATGTGCATATTAGATGATAAGCAGATGTGGTAAAATGTTAACAATCGGGTAATCTGATTGAAGAATATATGAGATTTCTTGGTTTCATTCTTATGACAATTCCACAAATTTAAAATTATTTCAAAATAGAATATTAACCAAAAAAATGTAGTCATAAATACTTCGTAGACGCCACAGAACGTAATGGTTAAGAGCAGATATACAAGGATCCACTGCTCCACATCCTCATTTGGTACTGGCGTACTTTTTGACTTTTAGCCACTCTAACAGGTGTGAAATGGTACCCCATTGTGGTTTTAATTTGCATTTTCCTAATGATTAATGATTTTGAGCATCTTTACATGTGATATCAGCTACACCTACATTTTCTCTTATTAAATGTCTGTTCAAGTCTTTTGCCCATTAAAAAATAGGGTTGGGGCTTCCCTGGTGGTGCAGTGGTTGAGAGTCCACCTGCCGATGCAGGGGACACAGGTTCATGACCCCGGTCTGGGAAGATCCCACATGCTGCGGAGCGGCTGGGCCTGTGAGCCATGGCCACTGAGCCTGCGCGTCTGGAGCCTGTGATCCGCAACAGGAGAGGCCACAACAGTGAGAGGCCTGCGTACCGCATTTAAAAAAAAAAAAAAGTGTTGTTTTTCTTTTTATTGTTGGTTTGTAGTAGTTATTAAAAATATATTGCAGCCATGAGTTCTTTTTTAAGCATATACTGTGAATATTTTCCCCAATCTGTGGGCTGACTATTTATTTCTAAAGGTGCCTTAGATGAGCAGAACCTCTTCTTATAATAAAATCTAAATTATCTTTTTTTCTTAAAAAGAAAAAAGAGCAGATATACAGAAAAAACTAGTGGTTAACGTGGGGGAAAGTGGGGTGGGGACACATGGGAGGGGGAGTGGAAGGTACAAACTATTGGGTATAAGATAGGCTCAATGATGTATTGCACAACATGAAGAATATAGCCAATAATTTTATAGTAACTGTAAATGGCAAGTAACCTTTAAAAATTGTATAAAAATAAAAAAAAATTTTAAGTGACTCTGATATGCTCAGAACACAACAAAATGTTTCTTCAAAGACTAGCAAACATTAAATAATGAGAAACATAATTCCAGGTTTTCTAGTTCTATGATAGTCAATTAGTCTATATGGAAATGACACACAGGTTGTCTAGCTCTGCTACAAATTTTTTCTTATTTTTTATTTCAAGGGGATTTTTGAAGGAAAGAAATAAAGATAAAATTAACCAAATATCTACTTTTCAGAAATTGGAAAATTAGAAGCAAGAATTAACAAAGATAAACAGAAACTAATAAAGTAGAGGAAAAAAGGAATCAAATAAAACCAAGAACTAGTTCTATTTTTAAAAAGTCAAAATATTCTCCCTCCTGTGCTCTCATGAAAATGAGTAATTTTTTAAAATATAAACCCACAACAACATATGGGAAGTTGGCAGACAAGAGATTTCAAAAAGTTTCTGGATAGGGAAAGCAGATGGAGGAACTAGTAACTGACATATCGAGGCAGAAAACGCTGCAGCTTCTTTTGCTCACGAGTAGGAGGCCAGTTTGTCCTGCTGTCTTTGGAGAATTGCAGGAGAAAAGAGAGAGAGTGGGAGCGAGGCATGGGATTGACAAGAAGGGATTAACAGTGTGTGTATTTAGACTACCCAGTTACCCCACCTTTGGGCACAAAACACCCACAGCCAGGGGACTGCCCAGGCAGTAAAAGAAAAATTTCTGCTGTGGAGATATGAGACAGCCCAGAGAAGACGACCTGTCACATTTAATTCTATGAGCTATCTACTTAGTGTGCTTTCAAAAATTCCCCTTCTTGTTTGACTTAGCCAGAGTCAGTTTCTATTGCTTGCAAACAAAGAACTCTAACCAATAGTTTTTCAGAATGGCAATTTAGCAGGAGCGTATCTTTTTTTGGCAGCATTTTTTTAAAAATAGCTTTACTGAGGTACAATTTATATGATAAAGGCTACCATTTAAAGTGCACAATTCAATGGTCTTTAGTATATGCAGAGTTGTGCAACCATCACTATCATCTAATTTTAGAACATTTTCACCATCCCCCAAAGAAACTTTGTATTCACTTGCAGTCATTCCCGTTCCTTGTACCCACCCCTTTCCCACCCTCTTCATGCCCTCATTCCCTCCATCTCCAGTCGTATTCTATTCTACAGAAATAAAGATTTGCAAAAGTTTGTTCACTATACTACTGTCTATAAGATCAAACAATTTTTATCCATTAACTATTCATCAAAAAGGGAATTTTTAGATAAATCACAATATATACAAATACAATGGATACTATGCAACTATTAAGAAGAACTTCTACTCATGTCTTAGCTTACATATTATTTCCTCCTGATACCCAGGCCAAGAGCAGGTTAAACAAATCTCCTACAGAATGTTGTTTGCAGCAAAAGAACTTGGGTTTTGTATTAAAATTGCCTATTTACTTAGATATTAGGTCAAAAATGTTTCCTAAAGGATATGAAAGCTAAAAGGAATGATGAACAAACCTAGCAGAGGAGAAGAAAGAGAAGAAAAGCTGGAGGACAGGATTAATAGGCAGTGAGGAAGCCGTGAACAAAGGTCAGAGGCAGAGGGTGAAAGGAAGTGAAAACATTCAGTACTGCCAGAGCCTAAAATGAGGTGAGGGTGCTGATGGTGGTAGGGGGCAGGGACAGAAGCAGAACGGAGTGTTAGGAATGAAGCTGGAGAAGTGGAGGTAACCTCACGAAAGAACTCAACAGGCCTGTTAGAGTTTAGACATTAACTTGATGTTGTTTACTGGAGAGCCACTGAAGGGTGAGAAAGAGTGCTCTGACCACACAGTGGAGACTGGGTTGGAGGAGGGAAAAAATGAGGTGGCAGACAGTTACAAGGTTGTGATGAGGGATGACCAGGAGTAGCCTCAGGAAGGAGCATGTGGATCAAGTACAGAGGAATTAGGAAGCAGAATTCACTCGATTTGGTGATTGGACGTGGGGGACAGCTGAGAGGAAGGAGTTAAGATTAAAAGCCCAGCTTAAAATGTGAATGATAAACAAAGGCTGACCTAAGTGACATTATAGGGGCAGTCAGTCATAATGCTAACTTATTTATCAACATTTTGGAGAAAGTATGGCAAAAAGATTTTTGAAAGAAAGAGAAGAAAGAAAAAAGAGAAAAGGCAAACTGTCAAAAGGCCTGATTCTTTTCTCCTTTTATTTTTCCATCCTCAATCTGTGATTATGAAATAATTACAGTGGCTGTACATCACACTCAAATTCAACTTTTGAGTATTTGGCTGCAAAGAGAAAAAGAGCCATCACACTCTGAATGAACAAGCAAATACAACCTGTAGTGAGTAGGAGGTGGGGAGCCATGATCCAAGAGTGGGAACAAGATGGGAAACTACTGTCTCAGTCATATTCTTTGTTCACATGTTAGCATTTCACCAAGGTGAGAATAAATATAAGACTTAAAAATAAAACAATTTTTGTACAATCTGACCCTTAACAGAAACTTACTTCATCTGGTTCTCAAGTGTAAAAACACTGATCTGAGGACTATAATATCTACTGCAAACACTATGATCTCTTTAGGAACCATAGCTTATCTTTCTAGATCTTTAATTGTTCTTACACTTTCCAACATTTTTCAAACAGGAATGCGCTAAAAGAGAGTGAATTTTTCTCTTTACAACCTTCTGCTCTTTATATATATACATATATATCCTACAGATTTTTGTTTTTAATTTTTAGTTTTTGGTGGGCCTTCTCTAGTTGCGGTGAGTGTGGGCCACTCTTCATTGCGGTGAGCGGGCTCCCCACTACGGTGGCCTCTCCCGTTTCAGAGCACGGTATCCTACAGATTTTTAAATAATCCAATTAAATGTCATTTCCTTGGTTAAGGCATAAAGAACCAAGACTGACTATACTACAAGTTTTACAAAATCATGCTAAATGGTTATGTGGGTAGGGTAAAAGTTCACAATCAAAGTGACAATTTTCCTGCACAACTTCTTTTGCCATTTCCAAGTTAAAAAGATAAAAAGACCTGGCTCAGTACTTCTGATAGCAACTTCAAGCCATCTAAACCATTAGAAAGTGGAAAAGTGCTATAGTTTAATCCCTACAGCACTGATCAAGTCCTAGCATAATCCTATACACCTGGTATATGCTCAATAGATACTTGTTAAATGAGTGTATTTGCTGTAACCAGTTTAATGAAAACTCTAAGACAATACTGCTTTCATCAAGATTTACCCTTTATAAAAAATTTGAAAATACAAATAAATTACTCAACAAAACTTACCTGCTACTGTGAGCTTGGCTGTTCTGCTGACAATAGTTCCAAGACTCTCAACAGTGGCCACACACTGATAATAACCTTCATCAGGTTTATTGTGTTTGGAATGCACCACATTGCTAATAAATAAAGATCCATCTGGGAGAAGCTGGCGTCGATCGTCTGACACTAAGTTTAAAAAAGTTCCATCTTTTTTCCATTCAATTTTTGGAGAAGGCTCAGAATATGCTGAACAGTTTAGTATACCAGAAGAGCCTCTAATTGAGAGGGTATCCACTGGTTCCACCAAAAAATAAAATGGAGTGAATGTCCGAATGCTGGATCCTGCAAAAATAATAAAGAAAAAGAACAAAGTTAAGCAAAACTTTCCTCTACTACTGCTGTAAGAAAATATAACATGTCCAAAAATTATTCTTAAGTGGTTCCCCCTTAGGTATGATACACAAATACAGTCATTTCACTATGAATATCTAATAAATAAAATCTACTTTTTATTAGAAAATCAAAATTTGACCCATTTAGAAGAACATTAGGAAAAAAGACCCTGCTAGCAGAGATAATCCAACCTTGTTAGATGATATGAGTATCTAGTAAAAGTTTTATTTCAAACCCTACAATGGGATTTAAAAATATTTAAAATTACGGTATTCAAAGTGAAATTTTCTACAGAATGTAAAGGAGGTAGAAAACTGAAATGATTCTGTGTTAATACAGTATCTCTTCTATGTTTACCAGCTGTATTTCTTTCATAAATTCACTATACACACCCTTTGTCCATTTTTCTAGTGGATTATTCATCCTATTGACTAAAAGCAATTTTTGGACATAGCTATCAAGTTTTGTAAATGTTCTTTTTTCTACTTTGATATTATGATTTTTTTGTTATAAGAAAATATATTTTAACTACATAAAAGTAAATCTGTTACATTTAAAAAGGTTTTCTTTATCGCAAGAATATTTTTTAAAATTCAGCTTTGTTTTGTGCTAGTACTTTTGTGGTTTCATGTTCTATATTTAATCTTCATCTAGAATTCATTTTGATGTAAAGACCACTGGAGGGATCAGGTTAATTTTTCTAAGTCTTCAGCCAGTTCTTTGAACATGGAAAAAACATAATTTAAAGAAAACATTTGCTATAAACCCTATATTCTCAGCCAGAGAAAGCTTTCCAACTTAGTTTTACCTCTTTTTTTCACGAGAACTACTGATCAACTCCTTTGTGAACAACTCGAGTTGGAATCAGATTTCTTCATATGAACAAATGAAACCAAGACTTTTTCAAATATACATCTACACAGCCCTTTATTTATAGGTTACTTACATTATGAATTTAAGTATGACACTAATTCTTTATTACCTAATAAAAGAATAGTTATAAATAAATATGAAACACACTGGCAGAGGAAAGGAAATAACATTCACTTGGTTTAACATTTTCCAACACTTACAACGATAAATAAATTCCAAATAGACTAAGCACCCTTTCCCAAACACCACGAGGGGTTTCAATCCCCATTTGATGAATATGAAACTGATTCTTCAAGTCCTAAAACTCTTGAAAGTGAGCTTTAGGAAATTTTCAGAAGTAACCTACAGTAATTTGCTTCTTATTACGATAAAAATTTTTATACTGCATTAATTTACTGGAACTATAGTAAAATAAATCAAAATATAAACTTCAGGGCAGTAAAAAATGGTTAAATAAGAAAAATTACCTTTATACCTTTTCTGTATAACTATTAAGTCTTCATTACACCACCCAAATTTAAACTCAGAGATATATTAGATTGGCAGTTAAATTATGCAAATTAACAATTTAAAATAGTCATTAACTATATTAATAAATAAAATTAATTTTAAAATTTGGACAAAGTCTTTGCCATTTGACAAAAAATACAAAAAAAATTACACCAATATAAATATTTTACAGTTTAATGTTCTATCTTGGTTTTGATTTTATTTCATTTAAAAAGCCTATGTCATATCAACCAAGTTGAACAAAAGAGTATATGTGTTCAAAAAATTAAGAAAAAATTATACTCATGGAAGTTTACAAATGCCTTTGAAAAATCAAGGCACTTCAAAATTTTACCAAAAAATATCCATCCATTCAGTATACTTAGAATATAGCATTGCTTAAATATTTACATTTATCATCTTTTATTTTATTCTCTCAGCAGGGGGTGACCTAAGATATTCTTCCTTCACTTAAAATCTCTCAAAGGCTTGCCACTACTTTTTATTAAAAAAAAATCTAAATAAACTCCTTAACTGGCTTGCCGCATCACTCTGTGATTGGCCTCTGCCTCCTCTCCAGGCCCCTCCCCTTGAATCGCTCTTCCTTCATCCGGTAAAGCATGCTGTCAGTCTCCTGTCAGTCTCATACAACATCTGCCCTCTTCACACAAGCTATTCTCACCGGCACCCCTCTCCAATTAACTAGTCTTCCCTCAAGCTCAGCTTAAATATCACTTTCTCAGAAAAGCTATCTGTCCCTAAAGCCCAGGCAAGATTAGTTTGCCCTGTTACAAGCAGGCATGGCATACAGTAATCTACCCACATAGCACTTCAAATGTATTAATCTTTAAATGTTTGTAATAACTTGTTAAGGCAGAGAGAGTCGCAAATTTTCTTGGTTCCTGGTATCCTTATTTGTTCAGTAATTTTTTTCATGAATTCCTTAGGCTAAAAGAAATACCTAAGAGTTCTGGTTGTTAGGTTCAAATGAATGAATAAACACTTGTGTCTTAACAAGTTAGTACCCGTTTGAAAAAATAATACACATAAATTGAAAAATATTTTAATTTCATCTTTCAGTAATCACAATTACTTATGGGATGTGTGCACCCATGGGCTTTGCACAACTTCTCAAACATTTAAATCCCATTGGATATTGCCATCCTCATTTCCTGTTCCACACATTTCTGCATGATACTTGCTTTTTATCACAGTGACCACCAAAAACCCAACTTCAGGAAGATATCGCAGCATCAAGATGAAAGCAGCACAATTAAATGTTGAACTGTGAACTACCTTGACCTAGAAGTTTACATGGTGTCTAACAGATATGTTTCCCTAAAAAGTCTGAAATATTCCTGTAAGTTCACTGAGGTGCTGTGGGGTATCTCAGGGTACAGTTTGGGAACTGCAGGGTTACGATCTATCTTTCTCCAGTGTTTTTATTCACCATATTCTCAGTGCCCACCTAGCACAGTGGATGGTATCAATCTTTAGATTATACAACCAGATAACTTCTAAAAACTTCCACTGCTTAAAGTATTAATGAGACCACAGGTTCCATTCCAATACTAGGCAATTAGTATCACTCTCTTGCACAATAAAACTTACTAACAAGCAGGGTTTTCGTTAATTTTGATGAGCTTTTAAAAAAAATTATATAGAAGAGCAAAGAAAACCAAGAAGAGTCAAAATAATTTAGAAGAACAAAGTAAAGTAACTGCACTCATCAGTTACCAATATTTATAAAGCTACAGTAATTAAGCCACTATGTTCTGAAACAGGGTAAAACAGAGCCACGTAACAAGCTACAGAGCCCCAAAATACAGCTATATATATTTGGAAACTTAATATGCAGAGATGGCATATTAAAATGCCATAGAGATGGCATTTTGGGAAAAGGATGAATTACTCAACAAATGTTACTAGGGCAACTAGTTATCCACAGAGGAGAAAACTGGGACATCTACTCACAACATATAATAATAGACACGTGTTTCTGTGTATCAGGCACTGTTCTAAACATTATTTACATAGTAACCACACAATCTTCACTACTACCTTATGAGATAGGTACTATTATTATTTCCATTTTAAAGAAGGAAACTGAAGCACAGAAATGTTAATTAACTTGTCCAAGGTCACACAGGTATATAGTAAGTGACAGAACCAGAGTCTGTGATCTTAACCACACTACACCACCACTCATATACATATAGAAAAATACATTCCAGACTTATGAAAAAATTAAGTCATAAAAGTTTTAGGAAAATACAGAGAGAGAGTACCCTGGAGTTAGGCAACCTTCTAAATCAAAATAGGAAACCTTAAAGCTAGAAAAGATAGATTTGCTTTACTTCACTGTGTTTAAATTAAAAAACAAAACAAAACAAAAAAACTCTTGTATGGCAAAATACCATAACAAAGCAAAAGAGACCAGATTGGAAGAAAATATATCACATATAACAGATAAAAAATTTAAAAGGTCACACCACTCAACAGAAAAATGGGTGAAACTGTGTTTCAATAAAACTTTATTTACAAAAACAGCAGGATGGATTTGATCTATTGGCTGTAGTTTACTGATTCCTGCCTTAGAATATTTAGCAAGCAAAAAACGAGTAAGCTACGTTTCAATTGATCTGAAATGAGTTCTGTGAAAAATGAACAATGCAGGCATATGCATATGATTGTAGGAGCACTGAGAAACATAGGAAAGTATACACCAGGTTGTTACGACCTGTCACTGGGAGGGGAAAGATGAGAGGGGACTGGTGGGGGATGGGGGGACAGGGAGGGAGGATAAAAATCCCCAAGCACAAGTAAAACAATTTTGTGATAAAAATCAGCTTGTATGTAATCCACTGATAAATATTATAAACATGTATGTGGTAGATATGGGTGTATGTTTACACTTGTGTGAATACCTAAAGGGATAGGCTTAACTAGTCACCAAAATGGGGATCATCTCAGTGTGGTGAGATTTCAGTTGCTTTTTAACTATTTCTTTCATCTTTGGTATTGTCTGAATATTTTACATTAAAAATAGTATTGTTTCTTTAAGCAGAAATAAAGCTATTTTCATCTTTATATTTAGTGTACATAGGAGGGGACAATATGAAAAGTCTGGGGTATATTCATATACTTAGATTGAATGATTGTCAAAATACATATATTTGTTAAATAAAAAACATTCAAGTTTTAAAATGTGTATAAGATGACCCCACTTACATTAAACTATATGTACACAGGTATATATATATGTATGTGTGTGTGTGTATGCATATAATTAAATGTAAATATAGAGGGAAAAGTCTGGAAGAAAAGTCAACAGAGTTTTCTCCTGGGGAGAGTAGCAGGATTGAGCTGCTGATGGAGAGTGTACAGGGAGAAAGCTTTTTACTCCATGGATTTCTGTATTATTCACTTTTTAAAATATGAACAATTGCTTACGCATTCTTCTTGTCATCTTTTTATTCTATGATAAAAAATTTTTTGTTGGTGGTGGTGATTAATCCTTTGTTGAGGACAGAGGGTTTATTTTTCAAAAGATCCATCACCATTGTCTTTAGCCACTTTTCCTTTGT